TAATTTTGTCTGTTTCTCTTTAAATACTCATAGACAATCTGTAAATTTGCTTTTTTAGAAAGGACATACATGTATTTTGTGATGTAAATTTTTTTTCCATTTGTTTGATTTTCTCATTGTTTCGTGTTTCAGGATTTTTTTCTTGGAAATTTATTTTTTTAACATCAGATTTATTTCTCTTTATGTTTATGTCACAAGGTCTTTTTGTTTGCTGATACAGTGATTGTTTAAATCTGTTGTTGATAATTTTTGTCATAGTAAATGTAAATTTAAGCGCTTAATATGTTTATACTTTTTAATACAAGAAAAACAGGTAAAGGTGAATGTAATTTCTTTGTATTCACAGAATATAAACAGCATACATGCAAAACTTTTAAAATAGGTTAAACCTTTCTTCTGAAATGTCTTTTAATTATTTTAATTTTTTCCTACCCTGGATGTTTGTCAGATTTTATGGATACATAAAAACTCTCAAATAGAAAATATATAATAATTTTTACTTTTGAAAAAGGAGGTTGTACTCTAACAAAACTAGAATATTATGAGACTTCTCATAACGACATCCATATGAGAATATGTTGTCACAGTATCCACATAACAACAAGACAGGTTAATAGCCAATGAAAGAGTCACAGATATCCGTCAATTTTAAAAGATTTCCTACGTCTACTGGATGAGGAAATGAATATGAAAAACAGGACGTTATATTGATACCTTCTGTCAAAAAGATCGGGACTTGGATGGCTTACATATTCAAATTGTCACAATTGACAACAATTGAGCTTCAGGAGGAAAATGCTGCTTCAACAATGAATGTACGATCAGTTTTTGTTCCTCAGAGGTTGTAAGGTCGCCCAGAGCCACAAAATGGATTCATCAAAATTGACGAATCAGAGTAAATTATTTTTTTAATGATCTCTGAGGATTTATATCACATGATCCAATTGCTGTAATCGCCTTTTGATTGGACCAAAAACAAAAAAGAGAAAGAAATTATTTTACAAGTTACATTAGGTACAGTATTTCATTTTGTCATCCAACTCCCCTGATTAAGATCATTCCCAACAAAAGAACCAACAAAAAATTTTGATGAACTATTCTGGGACACATCAAATGTTTTTTTGTATTGTTTACATTTTTAATTCTCACTCTTTTTGAAAAGTTGTCTTTGTTTTATATTTTACCAAATTACAGCTATGATTATAATGAAGAAAAACAAATATCATCATTGCATTGCAGACATATTCTGGCCAATAAACAAAATGTTAACATTATCTGAGGCTATTCTTTTCACTTCATCAAACTCATTAAATATACATGTTTTATCTTAAAAGATAGAAATCCAGAATATTATTTGTTATATGTTGTGCGATGTAGCTGTGACGGCATCTATCAGTATTTACTATCATTTTTAGAATTTATAATGTTCTACAGCTGACTGTCAGTCATTTTCTGGCTGATTAATTATGAATGAAATGCTGTCTTTAGATTGGAATGTATTGTGTTAATCACAAAGTTATTATCAAATGAAAAAAAATCTCCCTCGAGATATTTGACTGTCAGAACCTTGTTTTTTCAGTTTAAAAAAGAGAAATATTGTGAAATGTTTCTCATTAGTAAAATCTGAAGATTTTAGTTTTTTTATTAATAAATTTCCATCTCTTATCATTTGTTAAATATATATTTACAATAATTGCTGTTGGAATATGTTAAGTAAGTAAGATACAAGTATTTATATGAAAATTAAAATTATCAGTGTTCATTTTTTCATATAAGATATTATGCATAGTATGATATGTCTACTGGACTTTAAACATTATTTTTTTTTGTTGAAGAATATTTGTGAAATTGTCACTTTCCATTAAGTATTTATTTTTGTACAGAAATAACTAATGAAATTTTCTCAAAAATATTAAATTTGCCTTTTAAGTTTATTTAATAACTGAAAAAAATAAGCATCCAAAGTAATTAATTGATTGGGTTTTTTTTTCCATGAAAAATTATTTTACTACAATATTTGTGTTGTTATTTAATTGGTTAAAGAAAATACAACTCTGGTTCCATCTTTTTGTATAAAAAAAAACCCTATTCTTTCCCGAAAGGTTTATTTATTGACAGTATCACATGTTTTATTTTTGTACAACCAACGTTTAATACATAAATGCCCTTGGGATTCTAATCCCCACATCAGAGGGGATTACTCGTTGTGTTAATCCTTTAAGAAGCTTATTGTATTTATTGCTGTAAGGATGAACCAAGCTTCAAGACACAGAGTGAATTCAAAGTGAACACAGTTTTACTTGTCATCTGTGAATTGTGAAATTATAAATAATGCATGAATATAATAATTTATTTAACTAGAGGAAATGTTATTTATTTTTAAACTGATAAATACAAATATGCTAATTACATTATAAAATAATAAGCTTCAAGATATCTATTTAATATTCACATTCACATCATGTTAAACAAGTTTTTTTTAAAAATATAAGATGGGTATCAGGGTATCAGCTGTGTAAAAGTGTATAAGAATTATCAGTGTTATTTGAATAAGTACTTATTTACAAGATAAAAACATATTTTGTATTTTTTAAGTTGATAATATAAAATCTACGTACAACCACGTTCTGAATGCCCCATTTTCTGTGCATGATTAGCAGATTGTGGAACGAACATAGCAGTCAATATGCATTTCTTACACCTAAGAGTGTAAAAAAATAAGAAAACTATTGTAGGTAATTAAAAAGAAAATATAACTATAATCAGCGTTATTGATCAAAATATCTTTCAGTGCTTTTGGGTTGTTTTTTTTGGGGGGGGGAAGGGGGTGTTATTAATCATTTTAAAGCTTTATAGAGTGACATAATTTTATAATATTATTCGGCATGCACATTGGTATGTTCCATTTTACAGGGATGAATTTCATGTATTTAATATGTTTTTGAAGAATTTGTTTCTCGGATCAGATGTGAGGGAAAATACCTGATCAGAGTAATTAGCTAATTGGAAAGATCCATCCATATATAGTATATTAACTGTTTTAATTGGGTACAAGGGAATTCAAATGTTGTACTTAACCAAAATTGTACATTACAACAGTTGTAATATACTTCTGATTATGATGATAATTATTTATGAAAATTAAATAACAGGTTATTGTTTCTTTGTATCTTTTATTAAGATCTGGATCATTTTAATCAATCATTTACAACATCTAGATAATTTATAATTTTCATAAACTACATGGATATGCCCATAAAAATTTAAAAAAACCCCATAAATCATTTATTTAAAATCTGTTCCATTACCTCAGCTAACGCGCAGATTTTTGAAGTTGTGGAATTATAGGTGGTAGCACTATAAAGACAAAACATATCTTTCAAAAACAATATGATGCTAAATTTTCAATACCAGATCTGTTTGTTGGCGAGGGTGGGGTGACTGAGGCCATGGTGGCTCAGTGAGTGAAGCGCTGGTTTGCTAACCATGAGTTTTTGGGTTCGATCCTGGTGTTGGCTGAGAAAATACCTCAGGATTTTCTGGCATGGTTTCTCCTTGTCAGTGGCACAAGAAGCAGCATCTAGTCATTCAGATGGGAGAAAAAACTGAGATCCTGTTGACACAGCATGCACGTAAACGAACACTTGACTGAATTCAAAATATAGTAGGCTGTTGCCCGGGCAGAATTTCCCTCATAGTGCACTGCTAGGCATATGCCTGTATTCATTAGCCTGGGTTAGTGCCGAAAAGAAGAATGTTAAATCCAATTTCATTTCATATAATGTAGGGGGTAGGGGCTCTGAGAATTTGTATGAGTTTCTGACAGTTGTTTCGGTTATACCAACTTTCAAATCTATATTGTTTTGGATGCTTAATAATTTACTCTATAAATGTTATTTGTGGAACGGGATAGATTATCATTAGGGTAACAAATTACCCATAAACTTTCTGAGATTTAAATATAACCAAGAAAATCTCTGAATAAAAGATCAGTGATTACATATATAATTATGTCTATTATAGTGTGTTTCACTGTTTCTTATATAAGACAATGATGAAACATCTAAATGCCACATTAAATTGATTATTTATCATGTCATTACTGCTGTCACAAACTTGAAAAAAGATGTTGTGAAACATGGGTTGTTAATAGAATCATGGACTGGACCAAGACACATATCACCTTCTGACTTTATGCCATTTTACTTCTTTTTAATGAGATAAATATAGTGGTTTTTTCTTTATTGTCGACAAGGATCAAAGTCACACTGTTTTGTCTTTGCCATACCTTGTAAGTTTTGGTGGCTGTAAGCTTACCATAAAACTCGGCCAAATGAACAGCACAACTACATCTTGAATTAGTTTTATTGGAAGTTAAACATTTTCTATGAATCTTTTCACATGTGTCTTAAGAACAGATTCATTTGCATTTTGCCCATGATACAGAATCACGAAATTTCAGATTTAATCCTAATGATTATGGGTTTGAAAAGGGAGGCAACTCCTCCTGTGTCCTTTACAAACAAAATTTGAGGAAATTAAAGTAGGTCTTAATGGATATTGTAGCAACACGGAACAAATCCGTATTCCATGAATAGTTTCTTCTTTGAACTTATATACTGTCTCATCCTTTACATAATATTACATCAAGTATTATTATGCAGTTTACCATAATTATTATGATCTACATTATGGCTATGCATGTCAATTTTTGTCATCCTCACCATTATGCATAATTTCAATTATCATCACCATTTATACATATCATAATTATTATCATCATTATCATTTACCCGATGTATCAATATTGGAGTTTTTATTCTTAACTTCAATATTATTTTATATTTGACATCCTCCCTACTCACCAATGATTATAATTGTACATATTATCATTATTGATGTAAATGTTATCAGCATCATATGTATCAGCTTAAACATCGTAAGCAGCTTCATTATTACCATACACCACATAATTTTTCTGTAATTATTTAATATTACAGACGATGAAAAGATCATAGAACAACTCCAACAAGCAACTGGTCTCAAGATTACTAAAGCTGGTATTGGAAAAAATACGGTAAATAAAATATTTTATTTTATTCTTATGTCCTTCTTGTGTATACCTGTCCATTAATGGAGATGGTTGATTTATTTCAGTATTATAGCAAAGATGATGGATAACAATGTCAGCTAGAAAATAATTGATATTTAATTGATGTTGTCTTGTGAATTTTAACAAACAACTCACTGTTTCTGCCCCACCTCACATTTTAGAATAGAGCTCTTCAAAAATTTGTTTCCTGTTATAATGTAAGGCTGGTGTGTCAGTGGATATTAAGAGAGTATTATTTAACAATTGTAAAACTGATATATTTAGAATAGTAACTTCCCTACTACAATCAAGTACTTGATTTTTCAAATAATCCATGAACAGGGATATGCTTGACTCTTCTAGTCAAAGTTATTTTGACTTTATGTCTTACTCTTAACAAAAAGACATGGTCATTTTAGATTTATTATTCACCTTATATATGTTCCTCAGTTAAAATCTATTGTAATAAGTGTCCCCTATTGCGACTAAAAACTGTCAATATCGCTTTATCTTTTATTCTGGCAACAGCAATAGTAGGTGGTAAAGATTGAAGATTGTATGTCCCATACAGGCCTTGCATTTTGAAGAGCACTCGCTCCATAACGAATGCAAATTTATTTTTAAGAGTGTTGCAATGGGGCTCGCCACATCAGAACATTTAGAATTAAATATTTTAATAAATATGTGTTTTCCCACTATTTCATGTTTACAACTTGCTCAATGTTTAATCTTCAAATCTTGTACCTTACTTATAGACTCAATCGCACAGACATCCCAAATTTGAACTCATTTTAATCAATGACATGATGTGCAAGAATGCATGTTAACTCATCCACAGGCAAACTTGTCCACACAAAAAGTCTAGTTAATTTGTCCACAGATATTAAATTCAATGAGAAGAGTAATATTTATTTGTTACGAATCAAATCGTTTATTTCATATTTTCTTCAGATGTGGCTGCAAATTGTTTTTTTTTTTTGCTATGTTTGTTCAGTGATACTATTAACGATAGGAATAAATTTCTCCGCTTATGATGTTGGAATTATTACATTTTCGTTGAACCATCGAAGCCCATAGATTTCAATAGAACTTATGTTTTGTAATCCAACAGTTATTTCCTGTACTAATGTTTATTTAAGTTGATAAAGTTTATCAGTTTTAATTTTCTTACCAGATAATGAAATGAAAATGAACAATATTCAATTCAATAAACAATACTTTCTCAGCTACATAATAGCCAAAGAAAAAAGATTCCATCCATTTCAAAGTGAAGAGTGTAAATCCCTCTCCTGAACTTTTTCAGGAGTGTATTTTATGCTCTCCTGGGATTTTCAAACGGTGAGGCCTACCCATCTGTAACCAGTGCAGCCTTCATATGATTTTCACATATGCTACGAATCTTCAATCAAAGATCAGTCCATGCTTTGTCATTGATCTTCATTGGTTCGACATTTATGTAGAATGTGTCCATCCTGTATTTGGACTAAAATATCACACCTGACAACAGATTTGCCATTAACTTTTTTTATTAGAATTGAACATTAATATGTTTGGTTGTAACGACAATGGCTTCCTTAACGACCGAGTATGATTAAACTGTAGTTAAAAGACTTCAGCCAACATCAGAAGTCGTGTTGTAAAAACAGATGATAACGAGAATTTTGCATGTTGAACACTACGTTCACATCACGCCTGTAATTATACGATAAATAATTCACAGCGATTGGCCAATACATTTAATAAGTTGTTAAAAAGACAAACAGTCAATGGTTATAGAGTCACAGTAAATGAGTTTCCACAATAATTAATTGCGAATATCGTGATAGATTAGTCCAAATCTTTGATTTTCATGGATCATATTTTTGTTCTAACATGAATGTATTTAAGTAATTGTCTGAGTATGATTAAATACAAGTAAGATGATAGTTTCAACTTGATTTTAATTTAAAGAAACTAGAGTCATAATATGTTATTCTCAATGCTTTCCAGTTTGAAAGAAAAATAAACGGCCAATTCTGAACCACTTTAGAAAAATTATGAGGTATTTTACAAATCATTCTAAGAATTGAAGCTAAATTTATATATGGAGTTATTTGTTATATTAGAATATATTGCTGTCTATAAGTAAAATTTGTTAGTTTCTGGTTACTACATGTAAATGGTTTTCAAAAAATAAACCTGTGTTGTCTTACTGAACACATATAAAATAAGAGGATTAAAAAGACAACTTATTTCAAGTTGTTAATCCGATTATACCTTTCAAGTAATCCAGGTCGTTTTCTTCTTCTTTAGCCCTTTTCCGTTCCCAGTTGAGCACAGTCAGCAGGAGAGCAGATTTCTATTGTTTATGGTTCAAAGCTACTTTCTTTGCATCTTAACATGAGATACCAGTTGTCTTCATTAGCCCGGATGGTGCAGAAAAGTAGGACATTAAACCTCATTTCATTTCGACTAGATACCAAATGATTGTCTCACATTACCTGTATTGCGCACGTAAAGAACAAGGGTTAATGGTTAGCTGTTAGTGAATGTTTTTAGACAGATCAGTTTGACCCAGTGCTCTGTCAGACTCGGTACTTTATTCTGTTACAGTAACAAACACATTAATGTATGTCCAGAGTCCTTCTCCATTATGTGTCTCTAATATAAGGTTATATGAATAACTTACACATTTTATAAATAATTTCTCTTAATATAAGAATAAATCTATTTTCATCATTTATTTAACCTGCACTGCGTGGGTTCTAGGTTGGCCGTTTCTGCCGGTCGTGGCCGCTTGATAAAAATGAAAATGACCAAAATATCTCGGGGACCCATCGGTCACTTTACACACCATATAACTGGAAACCAAAACACTGGAAACCATGCTTCGATAATAAAACCTTAAAATAGGCCCTGTCCATGTGTCATAAGAATTTTTCAGAACAAAGCTGCTATACCTCTATTACGGTTACACACGGTAAAAGACATAAATTAGATCTTCAAAAATAAAGGCAAAGAGGTTTGGAGCACTGCTGGTCAAATCCATCCAACTGTCAGAATTATAAAATTAGAAGCTAAAAACTAATGTGTTTATATTCTTGAGCCGACGAGACATATCTATTTCCAATAATTGCTGCCAGAGTTATTGCCCTTGATCTTTTTGAAATAATCGTGTTGATGCTCTCAGACTAAAGTTACCATTCGATTCACTTTAAATTAAGCTTACACAAATAGTGTTTCTATTCATAAGGTAATTATTTCTGTGTCTTGTAAAGGTTCACATTACCTGAAAAAGCATAAAAATGTTATTTGACTACTCGCACAACTTAGCTACTGTGAGAAAATATTTCGTTGACTGAAAAGTTGTGGCGGTTTAAATTACACTGAATTTGTTCCATGAATGACCATTTTATGCAAAGTACTTGATAAATACTGCGTATGTAGATTAAGCAAATTGCCAAATAATAATTTTATGGTGTCTAATGACATAGTGCTGACATTTTATCATCCATCTATAAACTCGGGCCGAAATTTATTATAAATTTATTGATAATCGGCTGTGATGATGTATTAGTTTTTCATGTAACTTGTCGCTACATGTGTTAACACTGAAAACATTAAACACCTCTTGGTAATTAGTTAAGGGACAAGAACACGAAGAGGAGTACATACAATGCTTTGTTAAATCTGCATCTCAAGCATCTTGCTCTGTATTGATTTTCATAGACATGTTCTATACAGAGCCACCGTGGTCTTACCTTCGGTGGTAGAACGACCAGCAAACAGGCAAAGTCTGCTACACGACACTAAACTCTCACTCCTGTTGTTACTGTTGCTATAGTAACCACAACTTGTCTATCAAAAATCGAGACTGTCCACCTTTCCATTAAATCGGGTTTCTATGACGACCATGATTTTGACCATATTACGGTATTAAGAATGCTGTCATTTGGAAGAGTCTTTAGGTTTTTCCCTTCATTTCTGCTAGATTTGGTATCGAGGGATGAAATTGTTGGTTAGCGACACTTTATGTCATTACTGACGACAGTTACAATATTGTTGTGCATCCTTCCTTATTCTACCAATTTGATTTTTAGACTGAGCGAGTTATCAGGCATTTCGAGGCGATAAATCATTGCACATGTCTGACATTACTTGTTTTGCAAGGAACAGATTTCATGTTACTTGGAGAATTTTTTTTACTCTGATAAAATATATCTTCTGTAAAATGTAATGTTTTCTGTGAAATAAATTCATTTGAATTCCAAGATTGCAAACATATTATTTTTGGGGTTATTGTTTTAAAAGTCAAATTTATATGGTTAGATAAGCATTACGAATTTTGCTAAGAAGAGAAATATAATAAATTTAGATATATTATCATGTTCCAAGTCTGACCTATTTATGGTATTTTGATGAGTGTTCTTTAAAAACATTGAAAACCACTATAATAGCAAGTGCAGTGGAACTAAAATGTGTACGAATCATGAATCAAAAGTTTAGAAATTTTGTCTCAGATTGTGCATACACCACCCTGCCCTTTTTGTGACTGTAGTCGATTCACATTAAATAAATTTATTTCTTTTTACCAACCTGTGATGAATATATTTTCTTCAGAAGCTGTTAGCAACTTTAAAAAAAAAATATAATGGCATCATTTATCTTTTTTCTTTTCTCCAATTTGTTCTGAGAGAATAAAAATTCTCAGGAGAGGAAATCATGCGACCCCTGGAATTATTTTTTCATTCAATTGATTTTCTGTATCGTAGGCTGTTTCTCTTTTGCCTTTGCCTGGTTCAATTTTAATCAAATGAAACCATGAATAAAATACATATTTGATATGAAAACATCAACCCTGTTTTCATCTGATATTTGCTTGATTTTTATTTAGCATGAATAGACCCAATAGAGGTTAATTGTTTAATTGATTTAGCAAAAATTAAATCTTTATTTCATTTGCACCCGCTAATCTTAGAAGAAATAAATCTGTCGTCTCAAGAAAT